TTCAGACTGATCAAGACTGAGGTGGTGAAGACGGCCTAGTATGAGGGACTGATATATATCACCTCATACAGTCTCCAGCTAATAAGCTCTGCGCTCAAATAATAAAGCCAGTGGTTAGCAAAAACATCTTATTAATAAAGACAGTGAGGTGGTTCACCTGTGTTTAATTCACCACCTTGACAGGACTGTATATAATTAATGTTATGAGGTATGTTGACGCTACGAAATCATGGCCTGAATTTCTCTGTTGAAATTGGTGCTAGAAGTATGAGTCTTAGGTAACTAGTGATGCAGTTTTCTAGCCAGTGAGTTAGGTAACTGGCAATGCAGTCTTCTAGCCAGTGAGTTAGGTAACTTGTATTGCAGTCTTCTAGCCAGTGAGTTAGGTAACTGGTATTGCAGTTTTCTAGCCAGTGAGTTGGGTAACTGGTAATGAAGTCTTCTAGCCAGTGAGTTAGGTAACTGGTATTGCAGTTTTCTAGCCAGTGAGTTGGGTAACTGGTAATGAAGTCTTCTAGCCGGTGAGTTAGGTAACTGGTATTGCAGTTTTCTAGCCAGTGAGTTGGGTAACTGGTAATGAAGTCTTCTAGCCGGTGAGTTAGGTAACTGGTATTGCAGTTTTCTAGCCAGTGAGTTGGGTAACTCGTAATGAAGTCTTCTAGCCAGTGAGTTAGCTAACTGGTATTGCAGTCTTCTAGCCAGTGAGTTAGGTAACTGGTGTTGCAGTCTTCTAGCTAGTGAGTTAGGTAACTGGTAATGCAGTCTTCTAGCCAGTGAGTTAGGTAACTCGTAATGAAGTCTTCTAGCCAGTGAGTTAGCTAACTGGTAATGCACACATGAGTCAGGTAACTGGTAATGAAGCCTTCTAGCCAGTAAGTTGTGTAACTGGTAATGAAGCCTTCTAGCCAGTGAGTTAGGTAACTGATAATGAAGTCTTCTAGTCAGTGAGTTAGGCAAGTGGTAATGAAGTCTTCTAGCCAGTGAGTTGGGTAACTGGTAATGAAGTCTTCTAGCCAGTGAGTTAGGCAAGTGGTAATGAAGTCTTCTAGCCAGTGAGTTAGGTAACTGGTAATGAAATCTTCTAGCCAGTGAGTTAGGTAACTGGTAATGAAGTCTTCTATCCAGTGAGTTGGGTAACTGGTAATGAAGTCTTCTAGCCAGTGAGTTGGGTAACTGGTAATGAAGTCTTCTAGCCAGTGAGTTAGGTAACTGGTAATGAAGTCTTCTAGCCAGTGAGTCAGGTAACTGGTAATGAAATCTTCTAGCCAGTGAGTTAGGTAACTGGTAATGAAGTCTTCTATCCAGTGAGTTAGGTAACTGGTAATGAAATCTTCTAGCCAGTGAGTTAGGTAACTGGTAATGAAGTCTTCTATCCAGTGAGTTGGGTAACTGGTAATGAAGTCTTCTAGCCAGTGAGTCAGGTAACTGGTAATGAAATCTTCTAGCCAGTGAGTTAGGTAACTGGTAATGAAGTCTTCTAGCCAGTGAGTTAGGTAATGTAATGAAATCTTCTAGCCAGTGAGTTAGGTAACTGGTAATGAAGTCTTCTATCCAGTGAGTTGGGTAACTGGTAATGAAGTCTTCTAGCCAGTGAGTTAGGTAACTGGTAATGAAGTCTTCTAGCCAGTGAGTCAGGTAACTGGTAATGAAGTCTTCTAGCCAGTGAGTTGGGTAACCAAAGTATTAGGAACTGACAGTAATTTTAGGCATGTGCACAGCGCTGCCTTGGTAACTGATACCTTACTCAAGCCCAGTCATTATCCACCACTAACACTGCCTCAACGCTTAGAATATTAATTTAGCGGCGGAAGCTGTGTCACTGCGTCCAAGGACTCCTAGCACTTAGAGCTTATGTACTTCAAAGAATAAATCTTTGAATTCTGTTGCCTGCAGAATCTAGATAGCTGGTCACGGTACCTAGATGGCTAGTGATAGTACCTGGATAGCTAGTCATGGTACCTAGACAGCTAGTCACAGTAACTAGATAACAGCATAACGACTACATCTGAAAATTATTGTCGTCGCGACGATGCATATTTGACCAAGCGCTGAAATCAGCTACAAGGCCACAATGTAATTACTAGATATCTTAAGTTAATGTAAACGGGATGAAGATAATTTAGGAAAAGGAATGACAGGTGAACAGTTACCCATGTGTAATACATGCTATCCTAAGAACTTAAAACCAAGATAGCGAGCCGAACACGAGAATAATTCTATGTATTTAGCGACCAATGGGTAAAACCGTTCATTACTCTCAAGAACCGAACGTGCGAGAGTATGTGAGGATATGTGCGTGTCTCGAGATAACTTCGATAGCCTACTGCTATTACGTTTCGCATCGAAACTAATGATATCTCTTGTGAATAATAAAAGTCCTATTTATACCTGATTCTGTGAATCAGAGATTAGCCAGTCAGATTTACACAAGAGTGGTGGGTAAGTACCCTTACTCAACCAACGACTCAGTACGCGTTGTAGCTTACTCTTGCAAGCTCTGTAGTGTCATACTCAAAACACTGCAGGAGGTGAGAAGACTAGTCAGATGTTTAGCAGAGTTGTAGTATTGTATACGAGAGTGAAAGCTGAGTAGCTGAGAACGCGTTTAGAATGTGAGTGTAAGAGTGAAAGTGATTGCTGCTGCCTGAGAGTGGAAGCCATGTACTTATGAAAGCGGGATCCTTGTGCTGGGGAGATCTGTAGCCTTATCAGCGTAGACGAACACGATTCCACCGTATATATATATATATATATATATATATATATATATATATATATATATATATATATATATATATATTATATAATATATATATAATATATATATATATATATATATATATATATATATATAAACCTAATATTATATAATTTAAAAACCACAGTAGCCCAGCCTCCCAAGCCACCACCAATTTTTTCTATATAAAAATCCAGACTGACCAAACGGTGGCCTGCAAGTCACCACTAGGTCTTAAAGACACTTAAACATCCTTCTCCATGTGAACGACTCAGCGCCAACATAATGTTCCTAGACGTCTATTATTTGCTCAAAATATTTAGCTATCAGAGCACTTACACGATTAACAGGTGATCAGTGTACAATTAAGAGAGAATCTGTGGCCAGCTACACTACAATTACTGCCATAGTAATAACCATTAAAACTCGGACATACATTGTGAAAAGTAACCAGGATCCGCCCTTGAGTTAGGCTTCACCTCTGATATAAATACTCTTCTTCATTATCATCACATTGTATTGGCAAGAAAAATGCTGGGAATTTTTTTTTTTATAGTTCACTCGGTTACATTACATGAAATTTTATAATGGATAGACTTTCGTTATTTACTATTTTAGACGTTTCTATAATCAGTCGACACATAGGAGGAGCTTACGACGACGTTTCGGTCCGACTTGTACCATTGACAAAGTCACAAGTCAGACCGAAACGTAGTCGTGAGTTTCTCTCTCTCTTATGTCCGGGTTGTTTGTGTATTGTTTCAGTCGGTATTTTTTTTTTTTTTTTGGTTCTCTAGACATTTCCACTAATTCTAGAATAAACTCACACACACATAAAACATAAACCGATGTGCAACTTACCGATTTTTTAAACCGTTTATGCCTTAAAGTTAAAGATAAATGACCACAAAAGAAAACTGTCGAAATTTAAGAATTTCGGATAATGCAAAAGTATTTTCCCCGCTTGACTTATTAAATTATAATTTTCGAACGGCTGTCACATTCGAGTGGAAAATATTATAGAAAATAAAACCACAAAACCACTGACAAAAATCGGAAAAAAATCTTAAATAAATCAAAATTTGATTCTTCTTTTTTTTCACACAGTTTTATAAACCTCTGGAATGAACTCAAAAATTTAGTGCAAATAAATAATGTAAATTACTTAAAAAATTAAATCAGTGTAGAGAAATGTAGAATATTCTACGTAAATAATGCAGGAAGTTATCTAGAAGCTAAAATGTAACTGTCCGCTAAGTGTGAGAGGTAGCTATGTGAGGTAGAACCTCCAGGAAGACGCCTCCAGAGCACACGTCACTCCTGGAGGTCGCTAAGCGGGGCAGCACCTCCAGGAAGATGACGCCCACACAACACACGTCACTCCTGGAGGTCGCTAAGCGGGGCAGCACCTCCAGGAAGATGACGCCCACACAACACACGTCACTCCTGGAGGTCGCTAAGCGGGACAGCACCTCCAGGAAGATGACGCCCACACAACACACGTCACTCCTGGAGGTCGCTAAGCGGGGCAGCACCTCCAGGAAGATGACGCCCACACAACACACGTCACTCCTGGAGGTCGCTAAGCGGGGCAGCACCTCCAGGAAGATGACGCCCACACAGCACACGTCACTCCTGGAGGTCGCTAAGCGGGGCAGCACCTCCAGGAAGATGACGCCCACACAGCACACACGTCACTCGAGGTAAAACTCAAGAGTGAAACAATCCACTCAAGCGCTCAACACCGAGATTCATGAGTGCACACTTAACGATGAAAAAAAGTAATATTTCAGCACTCAACGAAACAAAACATTATCGAGAAGCGCTAAACGAGTGAGGTCATTCAGCATTAAAACAAAACGAACACTTCTGCTGTAGAGGATAATAAAGATTAATATAAGTCATGTAAGTTAAACAATATATATTACAAAATACACCCAAGGAAGACCTCGCCTTCAGGACACACACAAAAATAATGAATTTAAGGATGAAATAAAGAACCGTAAGTTGCACACAATAGCGGATTTATTGCGGAAAACGAGTGAAAGAGGAGAGGCAGTGGAGCGTCACCAAGGGAGTGCAATAACACTGGGAAGCCTGCAACAGGACACTTAATCCTGCAGGCTCCTGCAGGATACAAGGCCACTTGCAACTCCTGCAGTCCACAAACTGAGATCCTCCAGCATCACAGACCTCCTCCAGAACGCTCAGCCTGACAGCCCACAGTGACAAAAAGAAGGAAACAAGGGGCGTTGCAACTTACAGTGAAGCGAAGGGATCATGTTGAAGACATTGCAGGTGCAATATTTTTTTTTAATCCAGGCGCTGCAATCACTCCTCCCAGTTCGATATCGCATTCCCGTACACTGTTAGTTTGTAATATCTTCCCCTCCCATGTGCATATATTCCAAAAGGAGGGCAGGTGAGAGTTATCTCAATAGACACAATAAATGGGGGCTGAGAGACACGAGTGCCAACACCCTCCCACTTCCCGTCCCGACCAGACACTGAGGAGTTATCTTGTGGGTTGCCCTGGCTAGTGTGGCTCCTACCTGCCAGACGTACAAGCTTCGGTACTTGCAGTGTGGCCACATCCCTACTTCCAGACATCACATCCTTCGTTCCAGACATCCCATCCTTCGTTCCAGACACTATAACCCTAGTTCCAGACAACACATCCTTCGTTCCAGACACCACATCCTTAGTTCCAGACACCACATTCTTGGTTCCAGACAACACATCCTTCGTTTCAGACACCACATCCTTGGTTCCAGACACCATATCTTTGGTTCCATAAACCACATCCTTGGTTCCAGACAACACATCCTTGGTTCGACAACACATCCTTCGCTCCACACATCACATCCTTCGTTCCAGACACCATAACCTTGGTTCCAGACAACACATCCTTCGTTCCAGACACCATAACCTTGGTTCTAGACAACACATCCTTCATTCCAGACACCACATCCTTGGTTCCAGAAACCACATCCTTGGTTCCAGACACCACATCCTTCGTTCCAGACAACACATCCTTCGTTCCAGACAACACATCCTTCGTTCCAGACACCACAACCTTGGTTCCAGACACCGCATCCTTCGTTCCAGACACCACATCCTTCGTTCCAGACAACACATCCTTCGTTCCAGACATCACATCCTTGGTTCTAAACATCCTTCGTTCCAGACACCACAACCTTGGTTCCAGACACCACATTCTTGGTTTCACACACCACATCCTTGGTTCCAGACAACACATCCTTCGTTCCAGACACCAGATCCTTGTTCCAGACAACACGTCCTTCGTTCAAGACACCATATCCTTGGTTCCAGACACCACATCTTTGGTTCCAAACGCCATATCCTTGGTTCCAAACAACACATCCTTGGTTAGACAACACATCCTTGGTTCCAGACAACACATCTTTGGTTCCAGACACCACATCCTTCGTTCCAGACAACACATCCTTCGTTCCAGACAACACATCCTTCGTTCCAGACACCACAACCTTGGTTCCAGACACTGCATCCTTCGTCCCAGACACCACATCCTTCGTTCCAGACTTCACATCCTTGGTTCTAAACACATCCTTCGTTCCAGACACCACAACCTTGGTTCCAGACACCGCATCCTTCGTTAGACACCACATCCTTCGTTCCAGACAACACATCCTTCGTTCCAGACATCACATCCTTGGTTCTAAACACATCCTTCGTTCCAGACACCACAACCTTGGTTCCAGACACCACATTCTTGGTTTCACACACCACATCCTTGGTTCCAGACAACACATCCTTCGTTCCAGACACCACATCCTTGTTCCAGACAACACGTCCTTCGTTCAAGACACCATATCCTTGGTTCCAGACACCACATCTTTGGTTCCAGACGCCACATCCTTGGTTCCAAACAACACATCCTTGGTTAGACAACACATCCTTGGTTCCAGACAACACATCTTTGGTTCCAGACACCACATCCTTGGTTCCATACACCACATCCTTGGTTCCAGACACCACATCCTTGGTTCCAGACGCCACATCCTTGGTTCCAAACAACACATCCTTGGTTCGACAACACATCCTTGGTTCCAGACAACACATCTTTGGTTCCAGACACCACATCCTTGGTTTCAGACAACACATCCTTGATTCCAGTCACCACATCCTTGTTTCTAGACACCACATCCTTGGTTCGACAACATATCCTTGGTTCCAGACAACACATCCTTGGTTCAACACACAGTGTACAACTAACCTTATCAATTATGATAAGACTCCTGATTATTCAGGATGCCACCCACAACAGTCGAGTAACACCCACATACCTATTTACTGCTAGGTGAACAGGTGGAACAAGTGCGAGACTTCCCTTACGTCTCACCCGGTCAAAGATGCCACACACAACGGTATACTACACCCAGGTACCTGTTTACTGCTAGGTGAGCAGAGGTAGCAGGTATAAGGAGACTTACCAGCTCGTATCATCCCGCTCTGCACTGAACCCATATATCTTTGAATTATGAACAGGACAGAAGGACCTGCCACTGAGATAGGAACACCTATCTAATAGATCTTCCTACCTAGCTTACTTGTAGCAGCCTTGTTTGAGAACTTAGGCTACGTACTGTTATACTGAATATTTGTATAGAAAGACTTGCAGGCTGGAGGCAGCCAGATCGTCCCACAAGTACCAGGCTGAAGGCAGCCAGACCTTCCCACAAACACCAGATTGAAGGTAGCCACACCTTCCCACAAGCACCAGGTTGAAGGCAGCCAGACCTTCCCACAAACACCAGGTTGAAGGCAGCCACACCTTCCTACAAACACCAGACTGAAGGCAGCCACACCTTCCCACAAACACCAGGCTGAAGGCAGCCACACCTTCCTACAAACACCAGACTGAAGGCAGCCACACCTTCCTACAAACACCAGACTGAAGGCAGCCACACCTTCCCACAAACACCAGGCTGAAGGCAGCCACACCTTCCTACAAACACCAGGCTGAAGGCAGCCACACCTTCCTACAAACACCAGACTGAAGGCAACCACACCTTCCTGCAAACACCCGAAAACCCCGACATAGTCTTAGAAATAACAAAAATATTATTTACTTACATTATTATGATTGTAAAACCGTTTTGTGGTGATAAAATGTCCTCGCCTGGCGGTGTGGTCATACTGGTTACCTTGGTAACAGCACCTGGTTGTTTCTGATGGCTGTGTTCGTTGTAGCAGTGGTAGAACAAACAACAGAAATCAAGGCGAGGGCTTACGTTTAGGCTGAGTGGCACTGCTGGATGAGAGTGGCACTGCTGGGTGAGAGTGGCACTGCTGGGTGAGAGTGGCACTGCTGGGTGACAGTGGCACTGCAGGGTGACAGTGGCAATGCAGGGTGACAGTGGTACTGCTGGGTGACAGCGGCACTGCAGGGTGACAGTGGCACTGCTGAGTGACAGTAGCACTGCAGGGTGACAGCGGCACTGCTGGGTGACAGTGGCACTGCAGGGTGACAGTGGCACTGCTGGGTGACAGTAGCACTGCAGGGTGACAGTGGCACTGCAGTGTGACAGTTGCACTGCTGGATGACAGTAGCACTGCAGGGTGACAGTGGCACTGCAGGGTGACAGTGGCACTGCAGGGTGACAGTGGCACTGCAGGGTGACAGTGGCACTGCAGGGTGACAGTGGCACTGCAGGGTGACAGTGGCACTGAGCAGTCGTAGCACTACTAGGGATAATAACAGTTGTGTAGGGAACAGAAAATCAAATTACGAACTGAGAAGGGGAAAGATGAAGAGGATAAAAAGGAAGAGGAAAAAAAGGAAGAAGATAAGAAGAACGAGGATAAGAAGGAAGAGGTAAAGAAGGAAGGAAACGATGAACTAGGAGGGCAAGGAATAGAGGTAGGAAAAAGGGGGAGGGACGGAAGAGGAAGAAACAGAGAAGGAAGAGAGAGCGAGAGAGAGAGAGAAGAGAGAGAGAGAGAGAGAGAGAGAGAGAGAGAGAGGAGAGAGAGAGAGAGGAGAGAGAGAGAGAGAGGAGAGAGAGAGAGAGAGAGAGAGAGAGAGAGAGAGAGAGAGAGAGATAGAGAGAGAGAGAGAGAGAGAGAGAGGAGAAGATGAAAGAAGTAAGAAAGAAGACGAAAGATGAGCGATAAGAAATATGGAACAGATGTAAGACGAAGCGCGTGACGCCAGCACGCGCTAACCTCGCGTCCGCACGCGCTAACCTCGCGTCCGCACGCGCTAACCTCGCGCTTGCATTAGTTAGAATCTCACAAAAAGATAATCACATGGCCTTGTTTAAACCATATGCTTCAGCGTTACTGCAAGTGTTTTGTTAATGTTGTTCATCAGGAGACTAAGGGGACTGACCACCTTCCGCCAGGGCTGAGGGTCTGACCACCTTCTATCAGGGCTGAGGGTCTGACCACCTTCCGTCAGAGCTGAGGGTCTGACCACCTTCTATCAGGGCTGAGGGTCTGACCACCTTCCGCCAGGGCTGAGGGTCTGACCACCTTCTATCAGGGCTGAGGGTCTGACCACCTTCCGCCAGGGCTGAGGGTCTGACCACCTTCTATCAGGGCTGAGGGTCTGACCACCTTCCGCCAGGGCTGAGGGTCTGACCACCTTCTATCAGGGCTGAGGGTCTGACCACCTTCTATCAGGGCTGAGGGTCTGACCACCTTCCGCCAGGGCTGAGGGTCTGACCACCTTCTATCAGGGCTGAGGGTCTGACCACCTTCCGTCAGGGCTGAGGGTCTGACCACCTTCTATCAGGGCTGAGGGTCTGACCACCTTCTATCAGGGCTGAGGGTCTGACCACCTTCTATCAGGGCTGAGGGTCTGACCACCTTCTATCAGGGCTGAGGGTCTGACCACCATCTATCAGGGCTGAGGGTCTGACCACCTTCTGTCAGGGCTGAGGGTCTGACCACCTTCTATCAGGGCTGAGGGTCTGACCACCTTCTATCAGGGCTGAGGGTCTGACCACCTTCTATCAGGGCTGAGGGTCTGACCACCTCCTATCAGGGCTGAGGGGCTGACCACCTTCTGTCAGGGCTGAGGCCTCAGTCTGACCACCTTCTATCAGGGCTGAGGGTCTGACCACCTTCTATCAGGGCTGAGGGTCTGACCACCTTCTATCAGGGCTGAGGGTCTGACCACCTTCTATCAGGGCTGAGGGTCTGACCACCTTCTATCAGGGCTGAGGGTCTGACCACCTTCTATCAGGGCTGAGGGTCTGACCACCTTCTATCAGGGCTGAGGGTCTGACCACCTTCTATCAGGGCTGAGGGTCTGACCACCTTCTATCAGGGCTGAGGGTCTGACCACCTTCTATCAGGGCTGAGGGTCTGACCACCTTCTATCAGGGCTGAGGGTCTGACCACCTTCTTTCAGGGTTAAAGGACTGATCCCCTTATGTTACATATGAGGGAATGATCACCTGCTGTCAGGACTGAGGGACTGGCCACCTTCTGACAAGGCTGAGGGACAGACCACCTGCTGTCAGGACT